TATATATATATATACCAGTTATTACAAAAAATACTTTACAAACAAAAAAATACATTTACAATAACACAATACATTATAGACATGCAAGCAAATAATGGACTACAGCAAACTCAGTTTTCCTACTCCAATTAGCTTTAATGTAAATTTTTAGTACATTTATAGAATAATATAGAATATTTAATTCAAATGTTTAAAAAGAAAGTGTGTATTTAATATGTATTTATACTTTTTATTTCTTTACTGTGATCATTTAATATGTTTTGATTTTAAACTCTACTGTCACTCAATACGTTATAAATGATATTATACAATATTTTTTGTAATAACTGTGTATTATGTATCCATCCACCAGAGGGCAATGTCATCCTTTCCTAGACCAGGTCTTTCACCGTCTTATCTGAAATTCTATAATATGAATCAAATGTAATCTAACTGTTTACATGTGGACAGCAATTTAATTCTGGCATTTCCTCTGCAGTATGAAGGAACAGGAAAAAGACAGGATAAGACCAGAGTGAGGTCAACTTAGGGAAGATAAAAATGAAGATGCATGAAAACCAAATTCTAGACTTGTCATCATCATATATTTTTTTAAAAGTGTCTGGTATGGAAGGCCTCAGACCGTCTGTTCCTCTGTTTGCTCATTCTTAGAGCCTGAAAGATTGTAGTCTGTCCATTTAACACTCACGTTTCTCCTGGACATAGAGGTAGCCTTCCATTGTCCACTGGCCCGGGGGCTTCTGGTCTTGATCTGCAGATCGGACTCTGTTCATCAGCTTTTCTACTTCTTGCTTGGTGCTCAGAAAGTTGTTTCTTGTCTTCATCCAACAAACAAAAACACATGTATAACAACAGATCATGGGAATCGTATCTCAGCACTGCAACTGCCATTTTTGGAATAATGTTTAATCTGACAGACGTGAATACATTTAAAACCAGACATGGGACTGAAATAAGTATACAGTAATAGACATCTACAGTATACAGACATGCACAGGAAAGAGAAGCTCTGTTTCAAAAGATAGCGCATGATTTATAAACTAATACATTTTGTTGTTTGCATACAATCAGCTCCATATGTATGGCTTTTTCTAATTTGCTTGATACATCACTGGGTACAGGCTGCACTTACGATGAGGAGCGCTCGGGTACGAGTCTCATGAAACACAAGTCATGATGAAAGAGCTCAAAGATTTGTAGAAGCAAGCTAAAAAGACATGGTTGCTTCAGTAAATGCATTTTTTACACCATGTGCTTGCTAACACTATCGGTTAGGTTTAAGGTAGGGTTTAGTGTAGATGGTACTTTATTTTCAAATGCAATTTAGCATTAACATTTTAGTGCCACTCACCAGATATTTCATTTCTGAACTGGCCCTTTAAGTACAAAACCAGCATAATAAAAACACTGCCAGATTCACATTGATCTGTTTCAGATAAAAACTAAATGAGATTTTAGCACAACTCACTGGACGTTTTATGGCTGTAACTATTTCTCAACTTTACTTAAGATGTTATTATTAATATTATTATTGCTACAGTAAACTATTTCTAACAAAAGACTGCTAAAAAGTTGGCAGGCATTATTGTGCATTATAGTGTTGGACATTACTAGGTTTGGACGTTACACATTTTGTGTGACAGTCCAATTTGAAATAGGTAAAAAAAAAATACTTGTTAGCATATTTATAATTACCATTTCTTTAGACTTTGCCAACTTAGTTGCATTCTGGGCATTATGCATTCTGGGATTTCCCTCATCTCCAAAGGATACATGTGATGCTGCCTTAGATTTTGGCCAAAATTAGGTATTTTAACAGAGCTTTAACCTTTAGAGAAGCCTTACAAGGTAAACTGAAGGTCCTGAATGACTACCATGTGTGCATGCATGGTGTTCAAAGTTAATGCATAGAATACCGCAAAACCAAGGTTAAGAGGATGATCATTTTTAGTACTTTTTTTGTTAGTGTCTTCAAACAATCTGTAAAACTTTTAGCATGCTATTCAAAACAAAAGCTCATCAAAATTCAATAGTTTTAGGTGGTTAAGGGAAAAGAAACCATCTTTTTTATTTGGAATAAATAAATACACCATTTCCCGAGAACGACCTGAAATCATATTCGAGTAATGCAGCTGGCATCTAACAGAGGGCAATGCTTTTAACATCGCACGGGGACTGAAAATAATTTTCCTCAGACTGATTGTTATTGCTTGTGTTGGTCTAAAAGTGAATTCGCTTTAAACAAAAAGTCGCCATTAAAGAGTTATAAGCCATGAACCAAACCGCTACGAGGTGAATCAACTTTGATTTGAAACAAAAATGGATTTGAAAATCAGACAATAAGAGACAATCACACAGAAAACATTCAGGAGCACAGAGACTTGTCATCAACACTGCCCTGTGACTTTTATTGAATAAAAGCTACATTTCTCAGCTAAGAGGTGATATTGTTGATGTTTCAAATTTTGCACTGCAAACATCAATGCAGCTTTCCATGCGGGCAAGATAATCCACAGCTAGGTGTTTATTAAACGATTCTCTGGAATACTTGATTCTGATTGTCAGTTGCAACATTCCAAGGTCTAATGTTTCCTGATAATGACTGTCGCCAATACCAACGCTGTATAACAGACAACTCATTCTGGTATCTGAAGCTGGCACTTCTTTTATCTCATATCACACCGCAGACTCGTTATCTCTTGTTTCGTTCAAATTCAACTGGTGCCATTTCGTGTGCCATTTAGCATTTGTATTGAAAATTAAATCGTAAGATTTCCATAATAATAGTACTGCAGTACTGTTGTAATGCTCTCCTAGTTGCCAGAATGATTGCTTTGTTTTTCAACTAAAAATCAATATTTCATGTCCAGTTGAAAAGTCATGAAACAAGTTGTTTGCTGTGGCTGAAAGGAAGATTTACAAATGAGCTAATAAAATATTTCAACTCAATTCAATATTTCGTGCCCAATTATTTACCTATGTGGCAAGCAACCTCATAATAAGCTGGTAATAATGTACATCCAGCTTGTTGTTAACACAAAATAAACCCCTCCGGGTGATAAAAGACCTGATTAACCGTGTCTGGGTATATTTTTCAATAACAACCAGCTGGACATGCTTTATCCCTTACTTAATGCACACCTAGCCATGAATGATCTCATATATATATTCATATATGTACACACTAAGTGCATTCAAATTGTCTTTCACAGTTTGCTGGAAAGAAATGAAAAGAAATGGCTTCATCTCCTTCTTTTCTCCTCTAGAGATACTGACATCACAGCCAAATACATCACCGTGAATTATCAATCCTACAATATTAAAGGTGCTTGTCCTGCGGTAGTGAATTACTGTTAAGGCTAATGCCTCACGCCTTCACAGCAGTGTTATTTCAGCATATATATGCCGCAGTGCTGCAGCACAGGTCTTTTATGCTTTAGAACAAGCTGAAATTTTGTGACACCACATCAGCTTTGAGTTTACAGTGACAGTGATGCAACGAAAGGGTCAAAGGTCACGGAACCCAGACACAGAGATGCTGACGAGCAACAGGAAGTGGTTTTATTACAGGCCAATATTGATCAAAGCTTACATGGAGCAGGTTACAGCTGAAAAAACAGAGGACAAAATGGACGCAAAACATTTTATATGTGCCAGACATAATAATATGAGGCTTTAAATATATATATTTTTTAAAAGTAAAAACATAGGAGGCCACAGTAAGTGAAAAAGTGAAAGAGAAGCAGCATGACAAGAGATGTACTTACATTCTGTAGGTTAAACTGTAGCTGTTGTTTGTAGGGCTCAAATTCGTGGGCCAGCTCGTAGCCCTCATGGTAGAATGTGAACAGACCCTGTAGGAAGGCCAAGAGCTGCAACCCGAACACAATATAAATGCAACAAGATGTAAATAACAAGTTTCCATCATATGCCTGTTACACAACATCTCTTCCTCTTTCTCAGTGCAAACAGGGATTTCACAATGTTTTGTGTCAGTTTGTAAATTCTGAAGTTTTCACATAACTGCTCAGTCAAAAGACTGACAAGACTTGCACACAAAATTCAGTGTAAAGTTCTCTAACTACTGCTACACTATACAAAACAGGAGTATGTATCCTCATCAAAAGACAGAATTAAATAAATAAATAAATAGTACTTTTGTAAAATGTTTAAAATGATTTACATTGACTTGATATGAAGACTGTCGTCTAATAAAAATTCTTTAATTTTACATGGAGCGGGTCGCCTCATGGGGGCAGCCATGTTGAGATCACATGACCAGCCGAATACTATTTACTTTATTTCTGTAAATCTTCCTGTTGCTGGATTTTTTCACTGACAAATATAAATTAATCATGCCTTCCGGTGAATAGTCCATTTTTACAGTAGCATCGGTAACTGAAAACTATTCCTTTTGCATGTTTCTGCATCCACACCACTAGGTGTCAGTACAAGTCAAATTGGAGAAGTGACGCATGATATGATTTTTGAAAATAAAGTTACACCCATGCAACCTAAAATTACTAGGAAGACATTTACTTAATTTACTAAATTAATCCCTGAAAGAAAATGGTTATTGCACAGACCTGATGTACACGGAAAATAATCATTTTCCAAAGTCATATATAAAGCAATGGTTTTGGAGCATGTTTTACAAGAAAATACCATTTCAGTCCATCTATTTCAAAATTCCATGCTTAAATCAATGTGTTCCTTGCCTTTTTTTGTAATTGTCTGTGACATTTAATAGCAATTTCTGAGTGAAAATGGTTTCAAAGCCATTTTTTCAGTGCATGGTGAATGCATAAAGTTATGACTGATACCCTATTTATTAATCCTTACAGTTATCCCAGCTCTCTCAAACTTAACCTCTGTGCAAAGATTTGACTTTCTGATAGTGACTTTAGCAAAAGACTTCAAAGATGCTGATGTCACACCCTGAAACTCAAGAGCAGACCAGAATGCGATGCTTCTGGGAGATTAACAGTGTCTTTTTTCCCATGTCAGGTGATAAACACTGCATGCCCCTCTAAATCTACACAGCACATTCTCTGCCTCACTTTACCGCTCGCACTTATGCATATAAATATGCTTAATGCAGAAATGTGTCATGCAAATTCTGTCCACTGCTGTAATATGTGAGGTCCAGCTGTTGTGTATTTCACGCGAGCTGTTTGCTGATTGGAGATTTAGCTGGAAAAAAGAAAACCTAAAGAGCTGTTCTTCTTAAACTGTGTTTAATAGCAAAAAACTTTCAGTTATTGTTTCAAGTTAAGAGGAAGGATCAAGTCTACCTCAGATGTTCCTTCCAAAGATTCATTAGAAGAACTTGACATCATGGATAGCAGTTCAGATCATTGGTATTGGACAAATTTGGGTAGACATGTTTAAGCTCATATTAAAATGTGTGACTTTTGGTTGCAGTTACTATCTTGTCAAATATGAGCACAGCCATGTACACACGTACACGGGTATTTTTTATAGTTTGTCCTTCTTCCGTTTTAAAAAAAAAAATTTCCGTCCACAATGAAAACGCATACGCATGCTATCACGCACTGTCAAGGGCATGCCTAACCAACAGGTGGCTATATAATCCCAACCGTAAAGCCATGTTGGCCAATCAGAAGCCTGAAAAAGTGTCCAGTAGGCAGAGATAACAGCGCAGGCGCCGACGTCACAAGCACAAAAAAAAAAACAATTAAAAAAAAAAAATCTTCACCCTGGCAGGCGTTTTGAAAACTGTTCGGTTTCAGTGAACTGGTGCTGCGTTTGCGTGTGGATGAACGGCATAACCGCATAGAAAAAGCTGCGGTTTTAAAAATAACCGTGTTCGTGTGGACATGGCCCCAGACTCTTCTGAAATACCAGAGGAGACGACTTGAGATTAATGTGGTCTTTTCAGGAGAAACATCTGAGAAGCAGAAGGTCTCATCAAAAATCTCAATTTATCTCATTGCTGCTTAGAAAAAGATCTAATTTGAGATTCTTTCTTTCCTATCGGATTGAATTTAATTTGAGATTTTTATTTTTACAGACCAGTGCATGTTAGGTTCTCCTAAAAATGAAAAGTCATCATTCACTTACCCTCATGGTGTCCCAAACTTATTAAATTTTTTCTGTGAAAGATATTTTCAGAAATGTCTCAATGTCTTTTTGTCCATACAATGAAAGTCAATGGCAACCAAAACTCTTTGGTTAGCAACATTCTTCAAAATACCTTGTCTTCCACAGATAAAGAAAATCATACAGGTTTAGAACAATATGACGGTGAATTTTTGGGTGAACTGTATATTTAATAGAGCAGGGGTTATTGTGGGATAGGACATGACAGCTGAGGTTTGTAAGTTAGCATGATAAGACAGTGAGATTATGACTTCAGTGGTCATAAACTGTCCAGCTACTTCCTGTTGGCTACAAAACCATTACTGACCAGATGGATTGATTTTCGTTGCATTACACTGCATGATGGGCTTCTGATTTCTTTTTCAATAGACACATTTGACTACATGTTTTTTTTTTTTTTGTGGTTATGTGCATAAGAGTGGCTTTTCAAATTTAATATAAGAGGTAATTTTACATATCACAAAGATCTTACCGGCTCAACAAATTCAAATTTCTTCTTCTCTTGAACCTCCTGGATTTTGAAGACGTATTCTAGAGAGGTGTCATAAAAGAGTTGCCTTTCCTTATCAATCTGAGTATCAGCCTGCAAACGAACAAAGAGCGCTGTTACCGTAGAGACAGACAGAAAGTGATGGCTGCCAGGCTTGTACACTCATTTGGACGTGTTTGGGCTTTGGTTAATGGTTCCATGTGAGAATTTCTGGCTTAGCTTTGTGAGAATGTGTGTAACAACAAGCTAAACAAATGCACAGGAACATCTCTGAACAGCATGAGAAAAGAAAAAAAACTGGAACTAAAGCTTTTAAACACTGATGTTTTCAAAAGGATTAGTCCTCCAAAAATGGAAATTTTATCATTATTTACTCATCCCCATCTTGTTCCAAAACCATATGAAAAAAAAGAAGTTTTCAAGTTGCAAAAAGGACACCAAGGACTAAGTCAAAAGGTTAAAGGCCACTGTTGTCATCAAAAAAGACAACATGATCATAAGCAATGTACACAGTTTCAGTCTTACATGTGCTATTTGATTCCGTTTAAAAAAATAAAAAAATAAATGGAATTGTGATTAGTTGTCTTTCTTGCATTGGTTTGCATACTAAATTTTGATTGGTCTTTGTCCTCTGTGCATATATTTGCAGTTACACTCGCCGCTACACTGCAGTTATTTGTTGATTCTTTCTGAGTCTGGTGCACAGCAGACAGAAAGCAAGATGTCATGATGGTCAGACACTTCTAATGCAGCACTAACTCAAAACTAAGACTAAAACCTAAACCTGAGCTTACTATAATTCTTTTGATGCCATGTAAGCACTGGTATTTCCTTCGGAAAATGCAAATCTAGCCTTATTTGTGGAATGATTCACCTCTTGGAGAGCTGATTCTTTTTTTCTGGACGACAGGCTGAGATGTTTTTCCAGTGAGGAATAGTACTTTTCCGTCTCCTTGTCAAATTTCTTCTTCCCCTCCTATGAAAAACAAATTGTTACTGGCATTATATTAGCATTATTAAAGAAGCTCAAAGTCTGATATGTAAACTGTAAAATTACCAGAGCTGTCAATTACCCAAAACTAATAAGAAATACAGAGCAATGCTTAACACATAATACAAAATTCTTCTCAGAACTGACTTTTTAGTGGTTTTTAGTGGTTACCACAGGTGTAGAGAAACACATTAACTATGAACATATTACACTAACATTTGACAACAAAGTGTGTCTGTGATCTGCCTGTAAGGCCGTTAGGTGGCACTCTAATGCTTTATCACGCAAACCCATTCTTGTATCTCAATGCGATATGCAGTTACTGTTATAGAAACAGTTTAGCCCATAATTAATATATTGCATGTAAATAAATATATTGTCACTCGGAAGGAAATTAAATGACATAAACCAAGCATAAAGATGATTATATACTTAATCATACATAGTTACAAGATACGATTAATCTCTTTCTGTTCTCAACAGACACAGAAGAGCAAATCACAGCACTCTTTTGAAAATATGCACAATTGCCTTCACTGCCATTTGAATGCAACTTTGAGAGTCTATGGGTCAACTATTGTTAAGATTACATTCCCTGACAGATGCACGCAGACAGAAATGTCAGATTTGCATTAGTCTAAATGCTGACTCAAGTTACACAGGTAGTACAGTACAGGCTTCTGTGGAGATGCACATAAGAACAGTTCTCTCAAAAAAAAAAAAAATCCTAAAATTTCAGCCAAGAGAATCAATTTATAGAACAACAAACTTACAAAGTAGGCTCAAAGTCATGGGTGTTAAAAGTCAAGATGGTATAAGTTGTTTTGCCATAATACAGTCACTTTTGAAAGCCAATCAATGCAAAAATGCTGTTTTGGCAGCACAATGGTGCACAATGGTGTAGTTAAACCATTTACCAACAGGGGCTAACTGGACCATGCTACCCTGCCAAACCCTGACCACTTGGCTGTGTCCAAAAGCTGAAAAATGCTGCCTCCGCAAGTAGCATATGCACGTCCAAATCCAATGATTATGTGATATCTTGTCTACTGAGATACCCTCATCAGATTTTTTAAGGCAGCATACATGTAATAATTAAATATTCAGCTCTCTCTATTTTGTTGTAGATCATTAAACAATTATGCTGCCTCCGAAACCTGTCCGAAATCATTTTGTGAGGTACCTTTGTGTACAAATGCTGCCTACACAGCCATTGCCTGATAGAGCAAAAAGGCAACAAGTTAGCTGCCTAAGCTTTCGGACAAATCCCTTGGCTGTGTCCGAAATCGACTCCCCCTATACCCTTAAATAGGGCACTATTTGAGGGAACAGCCATTTTTAGTGGTGTCCGAAACCATAGCGGACGTTCTCGAGTGCACTCATTCAATCCCACAATGCACTGCAAAAACGAGTGTACAACTGGTGCACGCTCAACGGCTAGAGAATGCCCGTAATGCACCGTGAGAGTCACGCGCCGAATGAATTCCCACATCTCGCCAGAAAATGCCGCCCGCAGCTGAATAATCAATCCGTTCATTTTTACAAAGTGCTCATCCATGGCGTACAGCATAATGTACAACACGGGTATGAATTCATTTTAAATTGATTATTAAATTAACAATTCAATTGTTTGAATATGGTTTATACATAATTTCCGTGACAGAGTTCAAGATAAATCCTTTAATCTTACTACTGGAGCTGCTAGTTTGCTAGTTTCAAATGATTAATAAACAGCAAGCACAAACTATGCAAAAGCGGCATTCCTTCCGGTGCACTCAGTGTCCGAATTCACTACTCGTTTTCATTCACTCCTTCTAGTGAACTGAATTAGTGACCTAATGTAGGGAATAGTGAATGAGGGTATAGGGGGCGATTTCGGCCACAGCCCTTGAGTGCTCAAAGTAATTTGTTTTGCTTCACTTACCACATGACTGTGGTCTTGGACTTTATACTGACACCTATTGGTGTGGAGACACAAAACTACACTTTTTTTTTTTTTTCAGTGGAATACGTTACCTGGTGCACGTTTTATAGGCTAGCTTTATATGAAAAGAGAGATTGAAGAGTAACAGATGTGAATGATGAAGAGGAGAATTCTGAATTTCAAATTCAGATATCCATCCGCTTCTTCCATTCCCTGTCACAACTCACAAAATAACTAACTTCACGAGATGAGATTTCCACACAAGAGAATCCACAACACTGAACCTTCAAAAGGCCCTGACTCCATTCAGTGATTTCACACCTGAGTTGTCTTGCCTCGGGCCTTTCATGCAGCGATGCAATACGTAGATTCTACAGTCATCGCTATATTCAAAGGTCATATGTAAATTTTAAAGTGCTCTATTTCTTTGCAGCAACTTAAGTGCTGTTCTGAGTGGGAGCATGGGAGATGACAGAGGGTTTGTTTGGACCACTGTCAAAAGAAGCAAGCTGGTTTGTTTGAGGGCCAGGGTTAATGCAGGGCCTCAAGGTTAATGCACGAGCTCCATATATGTGATCCCAATCATTTTTGAAAATCTCAATACTATTTCTATAAAAAAACATTGCAAATAAGTCCAAATATGTGCAAATATGTACAGGAAAGCGTGCATACTGAGCACAGTATACATAGTGCATACTGTGAAAACAGCATGGTAACATGCTATTCTGAAGATAGCTATAGTTGTAGTTATAGACAGTCATGCAGTGAAAGGAAATGGCCAGTGAAACTCGAGCTTGTGTGTGTATTTTCATTCCCATGGCCCCTCCATTAACCCTTGACTCCATATAACGGCTACTGATATAACGTAGCTAAACAGTGTGCTTGAACAATCTCACCACCACACAACCTCAGTGACGAAATAATAACAGTCCTGCATCCACCACATTTCCAAATTCCTGACAACAATCAATAAATAATTTCAAGATTGTGTCTTAAGACGCTTTCTCTACAGTACTGTGTCCAAGAGAAAATATTTCCAGTGGAAACTGTCGTGTCTATATCTGACTCCTATGGGATATGAGTTAAATAATAAAACAGACAAATAAATGAATAAATACATTAGATAGTATCTTGACAGCCAATACATTTCCCCATCTAGTTTGTTTGCTTTATATGAGAGGTTGACAGAGGAATACAATATACTGGATCTTTGGGCTTGATGACATTTTTTGTGAGATGAATACTGCAAAAACCTGACTGACGGAAACACGTATACTCTCTTTCCAACACAAATATGCTGAGAGAGGGATAATCAGAGACAGAGAAAAATAAGATAATTAAATTGAAAAGCTTGAAATGCATCGGGATTGCCCCATTACTGTCTTAAATCAATGGGATAGTTCACTATAACCACTCACACTAGAAGTTAAAAAGCTTCAAAACAAACCAAGGAAATAAGCCAGAGGCTTAATCATAACCAGGCCCACACAAATCCTCAGAATTCATACATGCTTGTTTATTCTGACAATAATGGAAAATTTGATAAGAATTTCAGCTATAAAAAGACTGTAATACTAAAAAGTCTACAAATAACTTCAGAGCTTGTTTATAAGTAGGTCCATGCAGTATCTGCATTCAGAATTTAGATGAAAAAGTGGATGTCTGACTGATTTAAATATTGTAAAATAAATGTGAAAGATCCAAAGTATTAAAACAAATCAAATACTTATTCATTTGAAAATGAAACCATAGTCATTTTACAAATTGACAATTAGATATATTTTAAACATTTTAATGATGTGCAGTCTCATGAGATGAAAAATCATATAAGTGACCTAAAAAAAAGTTTATTTTTACCAGCAGTAGGTTATGAGGCAGCCATGTTGAGATCACATGAAAATCTCTACTAATAATTCTTAATGCAATAACAATAATAGATAGAACAAAAGATAAGACCGACAGACAGACTGTCTTTCATCCACCAGAAAGTCCAGAGTATGAAAGGGGAAATAAATTCTGCAAACAAGCAGTCTCTGTTGGAGCAAAGAAACAAACCACATTGACCCGTAGATCTGAGCCACAGAGTAAGGATGAACGGAAGGACCTCAATGGTCATCCACAAACACACAACAGCCACAGTCACCACACCAAGAAATGCCTCAGTAGTCCAACACACAACCGCTCCATTCACAAACACTGCACTGAGTTATGGAGAGAACTGGCAGCAGACCGGCTCCAAACTAGCAGGAAACTATTTAACAGGGGTGCCCAAACTTGGTCCTGGAGGGCTGGTGTCCTGAAGAGTTTAGCTCCAACCCCAATTAAACACACCTGAACCAGCTAATCAAGCTCTTATAGGCATACTAGAAACTTGAAGGCAGGTGTGTTGAGGCAAGTTGGAGCTAAACTCTGACACCCTCCAGGACCGAGTTTGGGCACCCCTGATATATAATGTTGGCACTGAGTCAAAAAATTTACATTTTATTGATGTGTTGTAGAGGACTAAATAAACAACAAAGGAACAAAACAAAAATTGCATGCTTTAATACCAACATGTCAACCTTAAAGGTCCCCTGAAATGCTTAAACAAGAAGCGTTACTCTGTGTTGACGTCATTTTAACTGAAACAGGAAGACAGGGCGGGACATATCAAGCAGACCCGCCCTCTTTTTAAAATAGCCAATAGCGTTCGTTTATATCACAGCTTGGGCTAGAGCCGCTCAGAGCCGTTGAGCTCCGTAAAGCCGCATTTGACAGGGTATGCCAGCCACAATCTCATCTATATTGCTATAAAATATAGCATTCTGTGGTTTGCGCTGACTCACGCATGTTATCCGCTCCGTGCTATCGTGTATCTGGTCCAGAGCAGAGTGTGTGTGCGGTGCGGTGGTTAGCGTGACACAGCGCGAAACCAGACTTCTTTTTTTCCTCAATGGAAAGCATATTTACACTGTTTGAATTGTTCCCTGAATATAGTGAACTACGTGCCATTCACTGTACAGCTTTGAATGCTTATATCTTCTAAATGCGAATTTTGTCACTGTTTTGGAGCACACTGCCT